AATAAGGATTATCTGTCCGTTAACTAAAAGTCAGACCTCAGCATCTTCTTCTTCTTCTGCCTTTCTATCCTCCGATGGAGCATAGGCCCTCAACCAACTCACGCATAGTCGTTCTATCCTTCGCCATTACATGGAGCTCTCACCATGCCCTTCCCATCTTTCTAACTTCATTTTCCAGCTCTCTTCTCCATGTGTTTTTTGGCCTTCCTTTATTCCTATGCCCATATGGATTCCAATGCAAAGACATTTTAGTTATGCTGTTCTCCTGTTTTCTCAGTGTGTGTACTATCCAACGCCAGCGTCTTTCCCTCACATCTTGGTCCACTGGAGCCTGCTTATTTCACTCCCAAAGCTCTACATTAGTTATTATAACATCATCATCATCATCATCATCAGGTGCCTTGCCGACTGGCGTAGGTGATCATGCCTCTCCATAATCCACGATCTCCTGCAGCATGTATCAATTCGTTTGCCGACACACCTTAATGCCATGCAACAAGACTGTCAAGAATCTTCTCTCGTTGTCTTCCTCTATCCCTCTTTCCACAGATCTTTCCAGTAGTCACAACAGGTTTTTGTTCCCCTCTTCTCTTAACATGACCAACAAATGATGACTGTCTCCTTCTGATGTCTGTGATAAGTTGTCTTCGGGCTTCCGCCTCTTTCAAAACCTCTTGGTTGCTCTTTTTGGCTGTCCAAGGTATATTCTAAGCATTCTTCTGTAAAACCACATCTCCGAGGCCTCCAGAAATTGTTTGGCCTGTTTACCGATTGTCCAGGATTCACAGCCATATGTTAAAAACTGGATGTATGTAGCAAGCAAGAATTCTTTTTCTAACCTTCAATGACAATGATATATTGCACAAGATGTTTTTCATTTTATAAAATGCAGTTTTTGCCTGTCCTATTCTATTTCTTATCTCAGTTATGTATCTTCCATCTGATGTTATCCATGTGCCCAGATACTTAAATTTTTGTACTTGTCCCAAAATAACACCATCAACTTTTATTACACACTTAAGAATAATTTGTTTCTTTGATACCACCATTACTTCTGTCTTCCTATTATTCAAAATGAGGCCCATTCTTCCACTTTCTAACAACAAAGTGTCTATCCTTTCCTTAGTTCTTTCTGACTTGTTGCTATCAAGGCTGTGTCATCAACGTTGACGTAAATTGTTTATATTGGGCCCACCAGTTATTCTATCATACCATTTAATTCCCACTATTCTGCGCAGGTACAGGTTAATGAATGTCTGTAACTTTTTAGTAATTGCCTGTTGTTCTCCATGTTTCCGCCCCATACAAAAGTACTGATCTAACATTAAAATTAAACATTTTAAGTTTAGTATTTCTTTTAATTTCTGCAGACCTCCAAAATTCCCTAGTGCTATGAAAGCTGCTCTTGCCTTTTGTATTCTTATTTTAATATCTCTATCAGTTCCTCCATCTTTATTTACATTACTGCAAAATAGGTGTACGACTCCACGTCTTAGAGTGGGTGCCATTGAGGGAAACCACATTACTATTTGCCTGATTTATTCTCTTCATCTTTGTCTTCCCTTTATGGATTTTCAGACCGAATTGCTGTGATCATCAAGTATATTTAATTTATCTTGCATCTGATTCCATGAATGGGAAAGAAGATAAATATCATCAGTGAAGTCCAGATCATCAAGCTGTCTTGTAGGGGTCGACTGAATTCCATTTTTGGTGTCAGCAGTTACTGTTTTCAGTAAAAATAGAAAAGGCGATAAAAGACAACCCTATCGCACACCTGTTTTTATTTCAAATGCATCTGTTAGCTTTCCCTCATGAAGAACGCGACATTTCATGTCTTTATATGTTGCCTTTACTAAGTTAATAATTTTCTGTGGGATTCCATAGTGCCCCATCAATTTCCAGAGAGATTCCCTATCAATGCTGTCAAATGCTTTTTTTTTATAGTCTATAAATCCAATGTAAAGTGGTGAGTTCAGTTCAATGCTTTGCTCTATTATAATATGTAATATGGCTATCTGGTCAGTACAGGATCTGTTTGACCGAAAACCTCACTATTCATCTCTTAGCCTTTTATCAATAGCATCTTTTAATTTTTCCAAAATAATTCTACTTGATATTTTTCCAGGAACATCTTCTACCCATCTGTAATTCCCCATAGAGAATGTCCTTAGGGACTTTATCATCCTTAGTTCTGCAGGTGTGACCCAGCCACTTGAGCTTTCGGTGACTGAGCCGTGCATTGAGATAACTGTTGCAGTACCTCATCTTTACAATACCTTAGTGTTTGTGATCTTGTCTTGTCACTTAATACTAAGTATTCTTCTTAGGTATGGCATGGAAAATCTATATAGTCGAATAAGTTGACCGAGTTTCACTGCCATAAAGCAAGAGCTTTCTGTTTTTCCCAAACATTTGTTGTTGTTGTTGTTGATCTGCTCATTGTTGTTGCTGCCTTACCTATCCTGTTGATTTCTTGGTCTATCTATAGTTCGCTATTCGATGTGGATACCAGAGAGGTAAAATGGTCAACTGTCTCCAGCTCTTCACCATCTGTCCAGAGTTGTATTAATTAACAAATAAATATTGCGAAAGATTGCAATGGCCGCGAGGACGACCTCCCCCGCCGATCACCAGCAAACATACTTGCTTGACGTCTGCTTATTATTACCGCAAGAAAGAACCCCGAGAGTGACAGAAAACTACAGCAATGTGAGTTTCACTTTTCTCTCGACATCCTTCTCAATCAACATCTTATACCTTTGTGAAACAAAGCATATGCATGGCTACACTTAACGCCATGATTTGTTTCTAGTTTGGAAAGTTTGTGCAATCTTCCGCCAGTGTCAACAAACGGGTGTTCACTTGAAGACCTCTTTTGTTTGTTTTGTAGACTGTAGAACGACGTTAGAGAACCGGTTAGTGAAGGGAAGGCGATGACTTGACTCTTCCGGGTACAATATACACAGCTTATTATTTTTTTAATTTACGAATGGTAAAGTATAAATGGCAGGGGAACAATGATGCACAACACTGCAATGTTAGGAGGACATGTTAATTTTAATCATTCATTCTTAATTTCTCTCCTTTGTGTTACAATACATCAGTACAAGTCTGCACTTGTTTCAGTTTGAGTTTCTCACTGCCTTCATAGAGTTTTATACTTTATTCTGGCTTTGACAAATGAATGATCTTGAGGCACCTACCCACTTCAGCTTACTTAACCATTCGATGCTTGATATAAAGACTGTTGGACAGAGGGCCTGGGATTAAAGCTGCTGTTGGATTGCACTAGAATAGTGGCTTTTTGAGTCACTGGGTGTTGTTAATCGAATCTTTCAGAATGTATTCCCAGAGATAGGAAAATCTAAAAATCAAAGATGAACAGGAATAAAACTAGGAGTTATCTTGAGTGCACACTAACAGCCATACAATTAGTCTGTTCTTGTTTACACTGTGGTTCATTTCACTCAAAGTTTGGCTTGTTGTGGGTCATATTCATATGTTTCTAGCTTTCTGAAACTTTAAAACTTCTTTTTCTTTCATTCGCTTGAAATAGGTTATCTATATTTGAATGTTGTCTCTGGTATGAACTTCATTGTCTTTTGTAAAGTTTGACTTGCACTGGTGTTTTTCTTGGCCAAAAGTTTTGCCTTGATATGATATATTTGGGATAGTCAAAAAACATGATCTGTTGTCCCAGGTGCCAGTTCACATATGCACATGGCTTATTTGCTGATTTTTAATTTGTGTACATGTGGCTGTGAAGTCGATTGTGTCTTGTTCTGAAGCGTAGAATAATAACTTGCTCTGGTCTGTCTATAAAATGGTAATCATCTTGTGCCGGTTTTGGTGGCTTTCTGATTGATTTGATTATTCCCTTCTTTTATTGATAAGAGACTGGTACGTCAGGTTGTTCTTCATTTGCACCTTCCTAGTTTATCAGCTCTTTTATTTCCAGGAACTTTACATCTTATTCTGTTAATATGAACTTGACATGTTTGCTTTTGTGACAATGTTAAAATTTCCTCACATGGTACAGTTTAACTCTTTCATTCAGGGGTTCTTGCAGCAAATACCCAAGGGAATAAATGACCACTATTGAAAGTCATGAACGAATAATATTCAGACAGGCAAAAGACACAGCAGAAGTGGCAAATATTAAAATGGAGGTGAAGACATAATGCGATGACTGGGGTTCATGCGGACAAGTCACGCATCACTAGCTGCATGAGACTAAATAGAGAGTTAAATAATACCAGATCCGTGCTGGGTCTTCCTTTGCTTCTTGCATTCTTTCTTTGAGTCTTTGACTCCACTCTTGTTTAGAATGTGTTGAACTTGTCCATTGTTAGCATTGCAACCTCCACTCAGTGTGTGTGTAGCTGTAGTAATTAAATCAGTGGTTTCCTGTGTTTTCTATGTTAAAATGGCAGTGTATAGTGTTTGTCTTCTCTGATAATGGATATTGATGTAAGCCTATTACTTCTGGCTGTTTAATATTGCATGGACTATGTGTTAATGATAACGGTTCCCTGTGTGGGTTATAGGGCCCAATTTTGGGGAAAAACAATAATAGACCTACAGCTTCCCAACAAACATGTTGCAGAAGTCGACCTATTAGGGTGTTTCCTTAGAAGACTTGAGTGCATCTGCCTCAGAGGCAAGGAACCAGCAGTCTCCATACAAATAAGCCATGTCTGTAAAATGGATGTGCATGCAACAATCAAGTTCTGGGGGAAAAAACTTTAAAGTCCAGCAGTGGGCAAACAACCCGAACTTTCCACCAGAGTTTACAGCCAGAGAATGTGAATAAGAATTATACCATTGTATAATTTTTTATTTTTTCTTCAAGTTTACAATAATAACAAGTGAAGATTTTTGTGTAAAACCTTAGGACTAAAAGAGTTAAAGTCAAAGAGATTTTGGACTTCATTTTTGTCCTGTTGGAAATAATCACCAGAATATTAAAATGGTTTTAACATTTTGTTGTGAAACAGATGGCGTCCAGAGGATATCAACCCCCAAAACAGGGCAGACCTGAACCTCAAAGACAGACCAACTGGCAGAGATCATTTAGTTCAGATCGTGAGGATGCTCACAGTTTGAACAGTCTCCCAGGTGACATGCGTATCAATAACTGGGTGAGTTAAATACTTAACCCTTTAAGTAAGTATGACAAGTTACACACTTGTGGCCTGTACTAGAGTTGTCCTCACTTGATAGAAGCACTCTTCAGTGACTATCAGCTGTTTTAGTCCTTCCCTGGTAGGCATGCTGCAAGTATGTTATGTTATTACAATCAGGGTCACTGCATATGCGACACTCCCATGCGTGCTCAGTTCTTCAATGCAGCAGTCCCTCCAAGGTATCGCTACTAATTGTTCACATGAGGAGCTGGATATAATGTCTCGTTAATCTCATTAACACATCATTCAGTTCTTTTGTGCAATTTTATGGAGGTTATTGTTGATCATCACTGGAGTTAATGGGTTTGTGCTTGGTTCAGTGCTCTTGGCAGGTAGCTAACCTTTCTGTGAATAGATTGAATCATATCGGATAATCGGCACAGTGAAGCCGACCTCTTTGACTTGAACTATCTCTTTTTTCATAACCTTTCTACCGAAAAGCTTCATACATACAGTAGAGAGATCCTAGGTTTGGCCGTCCAATGGAAACCGTGCTGTATGGAACAGGGAAAGATGTGCATTGCATCACAGACTTCATAGAAGCTGTGGCCTTCTAATCTCAAAACAGTGGCAGGGAGAACAACAAGTAGCAAAAGAAAACAATGGTGGATACTAAGTTGTGATTTCTGGACAAATAATTGTAAACAAAGTAAGGCATTAGGAGACAGATATTAACTTTACTGAATTGAAAATGTTTCCGTATCAGTGAAAGATATTTTTATTTAATTTTAGGATTTATCAGATCTTCATCCATCAAATTTGGGAGTAAATTCCAAGAGACATAAGAAGTCCAAGGGCAATCCTGAGCGTGAGAGGGAGCAGTCACTGTCTGTGGACTCACCACCCAATGAGAAGAAACATCACACACCATCATCATACCCACGCACAAAGATCACGGCAAACACTCCAACATCACAGCGTGTGGCACTGGAGAATATCAGGCAGCACATGACTTTCAGTGACATGGATGATGAGGTGAGTGTTCCATGTGGGTTTGAGCCTTGAGTGTCGAAAGAACTGACATGACAGCACTCGGGACATTTCCATAAGCTCTCGATCCTCATCTTCAAAAGCCAGCGAAGAGTTATAGTTCCAACGGTGCTAGTAGCAGTTTGATTATGTGTCCATCTTGCCTTTCCTGAGTTTAGAGCGTCAATCAGATCCTCTTGTCACCCCTCAACTGTACCATTCTCTCCTGACCATAATTGCAGTAATCTTCATTGTTATTAATTGCTGGCTCGAATGAGTCACTGCATTTTTCCATTCACCGACTGACAAGAACGAGAAAACATGGACGCTGGCAAACGTTCAGAAGTCACACGTACTGTTTATTTTCACTCGCTGATGTTGCAGTCAGTAAATGTTTATATACAACAATATCACTCATAAATGCTCTAAACAGTCAATCATACCTTTGTAACATCGTAGAATATATACACAATTCAAAGAACACAGTAGCTCCCTCCATACAGAACGACAGTCATTCACAGCTGGCCACCGTTTCCGTCAGCCGCTATTTTATGCCAGGTAGGCATTGGGAAATCACGCTATTCAGACGTCAACATTCTTCCGAACTTTTTCACACGTACACCTTTCCCTTGGCCTAAACGAGACTGCCTCACAAACCTTTTCTTCGCTATTATATAGCCCTCTGATCTGTCCTGTTCTCGAATATTCTGGATAATTTCATTCTCACGAATTGTCGTGTCTGGCCCGTGATAATTCGCATTTCACGCGAATCCTGCCAGTCAACCTTCATGGTTCACGTGAACAATCATGTTTCACATAAAACCTGACTTTCAGATGTCTCTCATGAAACTCAAGACATAAATCTCGTGTTATCTCAGTCAGTCAAACATTCGCCTTACATTTATTACTGACGTCATCTACCGGGCATAACTTAATGGGGAGAAAATGACTCACTACATTCTCCCCCACCCCAAAAAAAAATGTTTTACATTTTCAATTAATCAGGTGTGAACATTTCACTGAACATGGTGATTCTAGACCTTTGTAGTGAATCATTTTCGACAAGTTCATTTCCAACCAAGTTCCCTTTACCTCATTAGGTTAACAAATTAAACACTCTAAAATGCCATCTGTTGGGTCTTTGCACGACTGTGAATACCTTAATGGGATCCTCACCCCAGGCACTCCCCTTTTAGTGCGGAAGACCAATAATCTGGCTCCATAGGTATCCCCACCTAGTTCTAAAGTCGGTATACAACCGAACCCCTCTCCTGGCACCCCCCGATCGGTGCGGAAGTCCAAAATCTTGGCTCTAAAACCGAAGTGTGACCCCATGAAGTCCCACCCTCGCTATTCCCATTCATGAAAGCCCTCAACAATGGCTAAATCAGCAATGTATGGTTTTGTTCCCAAATATGTAAGGTACAAGATGTAGTTAATTACCTTGTCTTCAGAAACTACAACATGTCTCATTAACACACATATTCAAATTATATGCTACACCAATTCAATTTAGTATACTAGTAAATGTAACATTTTCTGGTGAGGTGTATTTTAACACTGAATGTTGTCTCTCTTTAATTTTGATTGTTTACTATATTATACCCATTCAGATCAAAACATATATATTTTTCCAAGCTGTAAATTCATATAATACATTCATACAATAATACAATGCATACCCTTGCATAAAATGATTTCAGTTAATACAAGTTGTAATAGCAGTTGCAACATATTCTACAAACGTGACATGATATCTGGTAAATGATTGTCTGTTCCTTTGATGTGTTCAGTGTTAAATTTGAATTGTGATATCAACAACGCCCATCTATATACCCTTGGATTGCTTTGGCATCAATTGTTAATAATTTTGTCAACCCCAAGTTATCTGTCAAAATAGTGAATTCTTTTCCCAAAAGAAACTTCTGAAACTTTTTAGACTAATAACTAGTGCCAACGCTTCTCGTTCAAATGTATTGTATTTTTGTTGAGTTTGGTTAAGTTTCTGTGACATATACATTACATAAATTTGCATCAAATACATCATCATCTGACATCAATAGTGATCTTTTAAATATGGTTTAAGCATGTTTACATGAAATTTTTTTAGCTTTTCATCAATTTTGATTTCATCAGAAATCTTTCTTGTAACAACAAAAGAACCTGACCATTCTATACATAACTTGTCTGACTAATTTAACAAACAAAAATTACAATTTTTGATTTTATACACCCAAAATCTTCTTGTAAGTTTTTCATGAATGTAACTATTTTATATTCTGTTTGTTTGATTGTGGATTTGACTGTGGCAATAAAGATTTGTAATCACCGAATGTGGAAAGTGTTTTGAATACATCATTTGTAAAAGTAATAGTTTCAGCAACAAAAGTGTTAGTAGTGTAGTACTTCTAAGAATTTGACAAGTTTTTGTAGTTACAAACAGTTGAGAGTTGTAGCAATCTTTGTAAATAGGACTTATAGTCAGAAGAAGTTTTAGGATCTGGATGCTTTGGATAATACAGAATGAATCAAGATTGTATGTTTGGCATGTTATCAACAGAATTTGCCACATGGTAAGTAAGATGTATTGCATCAGCCAAATGTAATTACTTGTATAGTATGAGGATTTTTCATGATGTTTTTTCTCTCTTGAGTTGTGGTCACCTTTTGATAAATTACTATTTTCAAGTTTTTCGTTATCTGCAACTGTTCTTGGTGTGTTCTTTCTTGCATCACTATTTCTCAATTTTTCACTTTCATTCAGTATGGATGGTATGTTTTTACCACACAATGCATTGTCATTCATTTTTCTTGCATTCAGTACTTCTTTCATATCATTATCTTTACCCTCAATGTTCTCATATTGTATTCCTTTCATACATTTATCTTTACACTCTGTATTCTCATTCCTTTCATTCTGCTTCTTTTTTGTACTGATACTTTCACTCATTCTTGCATGACTGATTGACTGCTCCCTATTCTTGGATGAGTCACTTTCATTCCCTTGCTTTCTTGCATTCACACTATGGCGAAGATCTTCATCACTGTTAATCATGTTTTCACTTACTGTTACATTCACACTATGGCAATACTCTTGATCACTGGCACTTGTGTTGTTATTTTCTTTCACTTCTTTGATGTTTTTTCTTTCCCACTGAAACATTTCTTGCTCAGACATTTCTTTCAAACCGTTTTCATTCCCCAAAATTAATCCTGCACATGGTGATGGTAATACTGCAACTCTCATTCTTCTTTGTAAAAATGGAGTGTTAACATTGACAAAAGCTATCTTATATTTCTCAATCGTGCCTCCAAACGTTCGGCAACGAATATATTTGTTAATAATGTCTGTCGGTTTGATAAGATCTTTGTGGATACCTGAAATTGTGGCGCCCGTGTCTCTCAAAATGGTGGTTATTCTTCCATTTACAATACCTCTGTATAATTTTAAGGTTTCCTGAGTATTTGTAGCTGAGTTGGCTTCTTGTACAGGTATATTATGGCCACATGGAAGGCTATCTTCTTCATGGCACTGTTGACATACAGGGCAAGTTTCAATAGTTACTGCATTGGTCTCAAATGGTTCGGTGTCTGAATCTGAGTCTGACATTGCTTGTGATATGTTGGCTTCCTTAAATTTTCTCTTAAATAAGCAGTCTTTTTTAACATGATTATAGCAACCACAATTGTAACATTTAATGGCATCTTTATACAATCTCAACCTCTGTGTTCTTCTATTAAACAGTTTGTCTACATAGTCTTTATAACCCGGATTTCTATCACACATTTTGTCGTTCGGATGAGATTTTTGACAATATTTGCAGTACATCATTTGCCACTTTTTGTTGAACGTGGTTTTGTTTTTGTGTGGGTTTGCCCCTTGGTTGTATCTGCCTTTGTCATAACTGGCACTAGCTCCAGTTTCAATGTCTGGTACTGGGTTGGAAATGAAGATTTCACGATGGGCTGAAAAATAATTCTCACCTAAGTTCTCTAACTCCTTCAATGAGGTTGGTTTATTTTCTCTTAAAAAGGTTGACATAGGTTTAGGTAAAGATTCCAACATTTTGTTCCTTAATAATAAATCTACTAATAATTTATAATTATCTCTAACATTGGCCGAATCAATCCATTTATCAAAAATATTCTGAACTTCCGAAAAATAGTCAGTGAACGTCTGATCAGACTTTGGCTTTAAATCCAGAAACTTTTTCCTATACCCTGCTTCATGTAGGTCATAGTGTCGCATGATGCGATCTTTAATATAGTCAAAATCTAATCTTAGATGTTCAGGGACTGTTTCTAAGATCTTCAAAGGTTCAAATGCTAAATGTTTTTGAAAAATAATGGCCCACTGGTCTTTTGGAACATCATGAAAGCGCATTTGCAAAAGAAAGCTAGATATATAACAACCAATGTCATCCTTTTCAGAGAAATTTCTAACTATACCTGCATACTTTTTGAATTTATTTTCTTCTTCTCTCAATCTTTCTTTTTGGATAGCAGCTTCTCTTCTGGAATCATTTTCCATTTCTTTAGTTCTGATTTGAGCTTCTGTCTTTTCTTTTTCAGTCTGAATTGACGCAGCTATCTTCTCACGTTCCAAATTCAATTCTTGTTCTTTTAATATTCTTTCTTGTTCCATTTGTTTTTCTTTTAATATTTTCTCTTGTTCAAGTTGTTTATTTCTCATCTCCATTTCCTGTTTTTTCATTTCTTTTTCCTGTTCCAGGTGTCTATTTTTCATCTCCATCTCTTGTGTCTTCATATCTAGTTCGTGTGCTCGAGACAATCTTCGTTCTTCCCTCAAATCGTCTTGTATTTTCTTTTCTTTCTCATCACAAAACTTTCTAAGTTCTTCCCCTTCCAAATTTAATTCTTTGCCCAGCTTGATCAGTTCTGCCAAGTTAGACATTTTTATGTCTTTACAATGTAAACAACAGTGAAGTTACAATTCCTTTCTTTCAAAATACACACCTTAAAAAGAACAATATAAGTTCAATATAATGAACTAGTAACTTGAATTAATAACTAAATGTCCCTGGGTATCAATGCCAAACCTTACAATAAAGTGGATGTAACTCTTCCAACCACCAAGTCTATTACTAAATAATTCTATATATATACAGTTGATGTTTAAGAAGAAGAGTTAACTAATATTTGTTTAGCTTATGGGAGAGTAAATTACTTAAGCACACTTGAGAAATTAGATATGACAGCAAGAATAAATGATATATTATTTGATAAAGATTATTAATCAACTAATAGAATGTTATAGCACTAGAGTAGATGCAGTGGATTATCAAAGTGTTGATGTAGTGGACTATCAAAATATTGACCAAATAAATAACTAATTAATATGTAAATGTGTAACAATGTTATAATAATCCTGTGTAGCACAGTAGTTGGTTATAAAATTTCAGACTGATTATACCTTGTGAAATAACACCCCAAAAAAAAATTGTCTCTAATGGCCGCACAGTCTGGGTATAATTAAATACTCTTCTAATAAAATAAAAAATATTTGATTGAATTAGTCTTGATAATCGACTGTGATAAAGTAATCACTAATACTCTCAAATAATTAAATTATTTCACGTAATAATTACTAAATACACTTGTTCAGTATGATGCTTATTAAATTCGCTTTCAATGAAGCAAAATCAGTTACAATATATATGCAGAAACTTGTAACAAAATAATTCTTATCCACCAATACTACTATTCAATACAAATTAAAAAAAATATAGTGTTGAATCAATGAGTGTATCACCAAATAATATTACAATGATCTTTCCCCAATCAACCAATGATTAACTTATTATTCTTGGTATACAATACAATTTCTATTACCCACAACTGTATTTTTGTTATAGTGGTTACACTTGATGATAATCAAATATGAATGGGTAGATCAAATCTTAAATTCTAATTGAAATAACTTTGACACTTGATAAAGATGATGTGTGTATGATTAATTATGGCACTTCCTGATGATGGTGGTACTGAACTTTCATGTAATATAACACCCACAATTTTTAAAAATGACCAAAAAAAATATATAGAATTTCAATACATTTCAATATTTATAAATAAAAAGAAATAATGTAAAGAATAGTAGGAAAATACAAAATAATATCAAAACACCAATGTAATAATATAAATAAGTAAAATAAATGTCAATGAATGCACCAATATAAATTATAAATAAATAATGATAATTATAATAAATAACTGAATCACCAGAAAAATAAATCAAAAATAAAATTAATAATCAATGTATATTGTTGTGCTGATCTAGTTGACTGTCCTGAATTTGACCTGAAGCTGGTTCTGCGATGGCTGTTGCTTTCTTGAAGGTTGTTTCGTTGAAGCTTGTCCGTTGAATATGTTACTGCTACTTTTAAAATACTGAAGAAATGATTAATTTGATATGGTTAATTGAAATCAACACACCATAGTAATGATTTCATGAACTGGGCACTGAAACCAATTAAGACCGCACAGTTTATCTGCTCACACTAGTAATTTCAGCATTGAATGCACACTAATTAAGGAATTGTTCAGTGAAGCATTTATTACAGAAACTGCATACTGTTTGTGGTACGGTTCACTGTACTATCGGTTTCATAAACTGAATATTGATCACTGAATAATTCATTGGTAGCTACACACTTCAATAGTACATTGTTAACTGCAGATAAATTTGTACCGACCAATTTGCTGCTTTTCCTGTCGACTGAATGTGTTTAGGACGTAGGAAAGCTTTATTGTTATCGCTTTCTTGTGATATGTGCGATTACACGATGAACTTGAAGCATTATTGATCACGAGACATCAATGAGTGCTGATCTTGAGGTATTGTAGGCTTCTCATACTGTAGTTTCCTATTAAATGGTTTGCCACGGCTGAAAATGTAGAGCTGCGACACAAACACCCAGTGTCAGAGCTGTGGTTCTTTTGATTTCCGTACAGTTAACATTCTACCCGGTGTTTCACTGTCTTTCTATGTTTTGAAAAAAACAGATCCGAAAAACAGGATCTGGTGTCGACGCTTCTCTGTGTTGTTCAGTGTAGATTTCCCACTACACTTTACCACACTTTAGTCGGCAGCAAAATTTGATCAAACAACAAGGCTTCGGACATTTTGCAGAGGGGCAGCCCTAGTCTCACATCATCTCTGTGTAGACTTATGGTTGTATTCCTTTGCTACCATTAATGAATGCTCTTTGACACTGTCACTGTCTGCAATCTTTCCTTCGCATCTTTGTTGATTGTTGATTACTTGGTCGAAACTTAAAATGTGGACTTGTCTATCAGTATTCAAAGCCTGGAATTTGTCAGGACGTTGTTCAATCTGTGAACTATCGAATATGGGTTGTTGTTATGTCGCCATCGATCTTCCCCGCTTACGTTCGTATGTTGAACTGGTACTACCTGACGTCAGGTTGATAACTAAACACCTTTCGATGTCACAGATTTTACTGTACGAAACAACTTTCCTATCCTCAAATGTTTGGACGAGCCTCCATTCTGCAGTGATCTTCATTGTGATTAATTGCTGGCTTGAATGAGTCACTGCATTTTTCCATTCACCGACTGACAAGAACGAGAAAACATGGACGCTGGCAAACGTTCAGAAGTCACACGTACTGTTTATTTTCACTTGCTGATGTTGCAGTCAGTAAATGTTTATATACAACAATATCACTCATAAATGCTCTAAACAGTCAATCATACCTTTGTAACATCGTAGAATATATACACAATTCAAAGAACACAGTAGCTCCTTCCATCCAGAACGACAGTCATTCACAGCTGGCCACCGTTTCCGTCAGCCGCTATTTTATGCCAGGTAGGCATTGGGAAATCACGCTATTCAGACGTCAACATTCTTCCGAACTTTTTCACACGTACACCTTTCCCTTGGCCTAAATGAGACTGCCTCACAAACCTTTTCTTCGCTATTATAAAGCCCTCTGATCTGTCCTGTTCTCGAATATTCTGGATAATTTCATTCTCACGAATTGTCGTGTCTGGCCCGTGATAATTCGCATTTCACGCGAATCCTGCCAGTCAACCTTCATGGTTCACGTGAACAATCATGTTTCACATAAAACCTGACTTTCAGATGTCTCTCATGAAACTCAAGACATAAATCTCGTGTTATCTCAGTCAGTCAAACATTCGCCTTACATTTATTACTGACGTCATCTATCGGGCATAACTTAATGGGGAGAAAATGACTCACTACAATAATGATCTATTGGTGCCTTCATATTGTTAACTTGCTTCCAAAGGGCCTTGACCACAGGTGGCCTGTCATGCAGAAATTCACCACCCATTGGTGCAGACGCAGCCAATCTGTCTGCCTTCATTTCCCACTGTGGCTTTCCTATGGAATGTTTCGCTTAGGCACTGCAAATATGCTTCATAGTTATCAAATACCCACTTTGATTCCAGCTGTAGGCAGTTCACAGCAGACAGCATTGTGTTGATTTTGACAAAGGCATGAAGCAACGACCGTTTAGAAACAAATGGCAAACTACTGAACATAAAATTACCTAGAAAAACCACAAAACAGAGCTAACAGATGCTGAAGCTGGTTCTGCGATTGAGAAGTCTCAGACTCGCTGCCCTGATACTGTCATTTGAATGGGCTCTGTTAAAAGAGCCATTGGAAAGACTGTAGTTTATATCTTACTTTTAGTCCTGTAAAGGATACAAACCTAACTTTTTTTTCTGTGCTGTGACTCTACTTTAATTCTGTGCTGTGAACTCTACTTTAATTCTGTGCTGTGAACTCTACTTTAATTCTGTGCTGTGAACTCTACTTTAATTCTGTGCTGTGAACTCTACTTTAATTCTGTGCTGTGAACTCTACTTTAATTGTTTGCTGTGAACCAACTTTATTTCTGTGGTGTGAACTCTACTCTAATTCTGCGCTGTGAACTCTACTTTAATTCGGCGCTGTGAACTCTTCTTTAATTCGGCGCTGTGAACTCTTCTTAAATTCTCTACTGTGAACTCTACTTTAATTCTGTGCTGTCAACTCTGCTTTATTTATGCACTGTGAGCTCTAATTCTGTGCTGTAAACTCTACTTTAATTCTGTGCTGTGAACTCTACTCTAATTCTGCGCTGTAAACTCTACTTTAATTCTGTGCTGTGAACTCTACTTTAATTCTGTGCTGTGACTCTACTTTAATTGTTTGCTGTGAGCTCTACTTTAATTGTGTGCTGTGAACCTACTTTATTTCTGTGGTGTGAACTCTACTCTAATTCTGCGCTTTGAACTCTACTTTAATTCGACGCTGTGAACTCTTCTTAAATTCTCTACTGTGAACTATACTTTAATTCTGTGCTGTCAACTCTGCTTTATTTATGCACTGTGAGCTCTAATTCTGTGCTGTAAACTCTCTGTCTTCAGTATGATTTCTATCATTTATAATTTAGTGGTTGATGTGCATTCACATAACTCTTGTAATAAATCCACATTGCCATCAATTTTAACACATTCATTCTTTATTTCCTATGTGTCGGGACCTTAAAGAGACTCTTGTAGATTCTTGAGTGTTAACGTCAATGAAATTGATCATCTTTCTTTCTTCTTCTTCTTCTTCTCCTTCTTCTGTGTTCAAACTGAAAAGGGCCACCAGCACATATTGTGCCGTGTTTTACAGTAAGGCTGTGATATCTTCCGCTTTCTGCCCAATGCGTCCGCTTTCAGCAGATGTATATTTAGTCGTCTTTTATGACATGATTTGTTGGCAGAGAGGAGGGGGGTGACTATTATTTTTTCCCTTCCAAATTGAAATTTCGAAACCTACCCAGGGAAAAAAAAATTGTTTATTATAGAAATATGTTTAAAGTACAATGATAATGATATTGTATTTTCATGATTTCTGTTTCTAGCAAGCCAACATAGATGGTGAGAGGAACAATGAACGACAAGTAAGACATAAACAACAAAGTCTTTCCAATGGCTCTCTTAACAGAGCCCATTCAGATGACAGTATCAGGGCAGCAAGTCTGGGGCTTCTCAGTCGCAATAATAACATGCATCGCTCCAGCAAGGAGCGGGGGGTAAAACATCATCATTTTCTCTTCTTTTTGTTTTGTGTGTGTGTGTGTGCGTGCGTCTCTCTCTCTCTCTCTCTCTCTCTCTCTCTCTCTCTCTCTCTCTCTCTCTCTCTCTCTCTCTCTCTCTCTCCATCTCTCTCTCTCTCCATCTCTCTCTCTCTCTCTCTCTCTCTCTCCATCTCTCTCTCTCTCTCTCTCTCTCTCTCTCTCTCTCTCTCTCTCTCTCTCTCTCTCTCTCTCTCTCTCTCTCTCTCTCTCTTTCATTTCTGTTCCATTGTCTCTTCAAGTTCTCTATTGCCTCTTTAATTTTTCTGCTGTCTGTTTCATTTCTTTTCTGCTGTCTGTTTCCTTTCTTCTCTGCTGTCTCCATTTCCTTTTTCTGCTGTCTCTTTCATTTCCTTTTTCTGCTGTCTGTTTCATTTCCTTTTTCTGCTATCTCTTTCATTTCTTTTTTGCTGTCTTTAATTTCTTAACTGCTGTCTATTTCATTTCTTTTCTGCTGTTTTTTTTCATTTCTTTTCTGCTGTTTTTTTTCATTTCTTTTCTGCTGTCTCTTTCATTTCTTTTGTGCTGTTTTTTCATTTCTTTTCTGCTGTCTCTTTCATTTCTTTTCTGCTGTTTGTTTTATTTCCTTTCTGCTGTCTTTTTCATTTCTTTTCTGCTGTTTCTTTCATTTCCTTTCTACTCTTTGATTTTTTCCCTGCTATGCCTTTCATTTCCTTTCTGCTGTCTCTTTCATTTCGTTCCTGCTCTCTTTCATTTCTTTTCTGCTGTCTGTTTCATTTTCTTTCTGCTTTTTGTTTCATTTCCTTTCTACTGTCTCCTATTTAAAAAAAAGGGTTAGTTTAAAAAAACCCAAAAAGATCAATCAGTCAAGACAACTGATGTTGCCTCTGTCCCATTAGCCACACGGTGCTAATCTACAAGTGTTGAGACTAATAGTGGCCAGATGCTGGCCTACTGGTCCAAAGGTCTTGTGTTTGAATCAGCTTTCAGGCTGTGTTCCCCCCCCCCCCCTGTTTTTTTTTTATTTTTCAAAATTGACCTCGGTTCCCAAGTTACCCCAGCTTATCGAATGCTGAAAGTGTGAATCTAGCATCATACACCCCATGCGCCAGTGGTGGAAAAAAAGGATTAAGAAAACAAAGGCAGCATTTGATGGGCGATATCACCATAAGCCAACCTCTTTTACTTCCCATGAAATTGCTTGGTTAGACCTAGGAGACCTAGGCTGGTTATAAAGATCCATCTTGATGTAGATGCGAACCTCAAATATAACGGATTGAATCCCAATGTGGATTTTAGTTAGAAAAAATAATATACCAGCTGCCCTCAACCAAGCTGTGTTATGTTATCACAGTCGACATCACTGCACATTTGTGATTCCCATGCATGCTGAGTCCTTCAGTGCAGCAGCCATTTCAGAGTATTTTTAGCTGGTTTTAAGTTTCTCCTATCTCAGCCTCTGAGGTAACATAGACATACTTCACCGTGCTTTGCTCCAGTGTCACTCAGCCATGTTAGTGTCAGATTCGTCATTATCCACCAACTTAGTCCCTCAACAAAACGTGCTGTAAAAAGTGACTAATTATGGGCGTTTTCTTCAAAATGTTTTCTATGCTCTGTGTTCATTATATTTCCTCAGCATGGCTATCTATGGCAGTTGGTACCATGGCATTCTTGTTAGATGACCAAACCATCTCATCTATTGCTTTTTTATGAATTATGTGACTGGTTTCATTCAGATGTTGATTGTTATTAACTCCTAATATAAGGAGTGGAGAACAGGTTTGCACGCGTAGTAAATGGAAGTCGATTTGAATTTTAATCTTTCTTTACATATTCAGCCTTTAAGAAACTTGCAGTTTCCCATCTCGTCTCAGTCTTGTCTGATATCCTGGTTGTAGAACTGCTCCTGGGCACAGAACTGTGTGTCCAGCTCAGTTATCCTGTTCCTACAGGCAGTGACATCTGCTCATGAGATTCCTCATGTTCACCTCTCTGCCAGGAGTATAGGGCACAGGACCATCTGTCCAGCTCAGTAATCCTGTTCCTACAGGCAGTGATATCTGCTCATGAGATTCCTCATGTTCAACTCTCTGCCAGGAGTATAGGGCACAGAACCATGTGTCCAGCTCAGTAATCCTGTTCCTTCAGGCAGTGACATCTGCTCATGAGATTCCTCATGTTCACCTCTCTGCCAGGAGTATAGGGCACAGGACCATCTGTCCAGCTCAGTAATCCTGTTCCTACAGGCAGTGATATCTGCTCATGAGATTCCTCATGTTCAACTCTCTGCCAGGAGTATAGGGCACAGAACCATGTGTCCAGCTCAGTAATCCTGTTCCTTCAGGCAGTGACATCTGCTCATGAGATTCCTCATGTTCAACTCTCTGCCAGGAGTATAGGGCACTGACTGCTGCAGCCCAAGTTGAAGAGTCTGTCAGTCTGCTCCACAGTGCAAGTGACAGAATCTTGTATGTTGTCTGTTTTGTGAAGGTGTACCCTGAAAGTCCAGAGCCTAAAGCCTAACAATTCTTGTTCTCTATAATCTTGAGTAATGTTTTTCTGCTCTACGTGTGGGTTCGTGAGCTCGCTTGGGGGTGGGGCACTTTTCCTTAACAAGCTTGTCGCAAAAGGCGACAAACTGAAGATTTACTTAAATCAGATGAGTTGGACTGAAAGACATAGATATCACAGTCTAGCTATAAACCACAACACAGTGTACCAACCACTCTCTCAGGGGTGAGCGAAGAAAGAGAATATTGTTTGTCTTCTTGTCTCAACTATTCCAAGGGACCAAGCCATCTGTTTATTTTTTCTGTTTTCCTTTTGCTTTTTCTGACAGCCGGATCGAAACGAGATTGTGGCTCGTCTGACACAGATCAGAGACTTTACAAAGCAGGCCAGGTCAATGTTGGACAGTTTGGAGAGGCTCGGCAACATGGTCAGAGTTAGACATTTTTATTTTGTTGGTTCTTAATGGATGTTATATTTGTTTCTCAGTCTACAATAATGTGCTTGAAAAATATGTAATATGTCTGGGAAATAACATCAATAAAGTACAGATGTTCTGAAGAGACTAAGAAAGAAAAGATAGTTGCCAAAAGATATTTAAAAAAAGGCAGTTTAAATACTGCTGCCACATTAAAAAATAAACTCTTGTTTTAAAAACTCCATTTGAAGAAAAGTCGAAGGCAGGAGGGAAAGAGATAGACAACAACAAAAGGGGGAGGACAACATCAAGAGATGGACAAACAGCAATCTCTGAGAGTGTACAAACTAAGACAAGAAAGTTTGTTGCAGATCCATTGCAGTTAACCTTCATTATGGCATGCAACCATGAAGTCCATCACATCTGACCGTCAGATGTGGAGTGAGTTGATCAGTCAACAGTAGCTGGTGACCCAAGTACATGCACGATTAAGCGATGATGATGATGATGAATTTTGTCATTCTATACCTCTGCATATCTGTTGATCTATCCGAATATCTGTCAGATATGTCCAGCTGTCAGTCCATCCAGCAATTCATCCGTCGTTTTAACCATTGTCAGTTTATGTGTTTATTTGTTTGTCCACCTGGCTGTCTATCTGTCACCTCATCCATCCATTCACCAGTATATTTTTTTTGTATATTTGTCTAGTGGGTTGACCCTGTAGTATAGTCAGATTTTGGTCAGATATGATCAAGCTGTGTGTGTGGTGGGGGGGGGGGGGGGAGTGAAAACTTTAAAGTATCATCATCATCATCATATGCCATGGTTGTAAACCTAGGCTGTAATGTGTTGCCATCTCACACGATCCCCAGAATCATGGATCAGTCCATTGTTTTTGCCCCCCCTCATCTTGTCAGGCCATCCAGGGTATTTATCTCTTTGCCTTCCTCTTGCTCTCTTTCCATCAATCTTGCCATTTGTTACAAAGTTTTTGAGTCCATTCCTTGACTGCCGATATATTATTGTTGTAATAGGTTTACAACTTTCATCTGCCTCTATGAGCACTACTTCGTTTTTCTATCCTTCCTTATATATTCTTTGCATTCTTCTCAGAAGTCACATCTCTGCAAGTAAATGTTTTCAGCTTGTTTGCTAGAAATTACAGTAACCATGCGGCAACCTTCTTTAAACTGTAGCCTTGTTTGTCTGCACCATAATGTCGTGCTTAACACTCATATCACATGAGTCTGTACTAGCTGTTAACTGAGAATGTTGGGCAGTGTATACCAGACCCACACCTGTATGTCTCTTGTAACTTCCTTCAGCGGCCAGATAAAACAAACAAAAAATAGTGTTAGCAATCAGGTAATCCCAGTTCTAACTTCATAGCAATCAGGTGACTCCTCCGTTCCTTGCCAACAGAAACCACAAAGAATATCCATCATTGTCCCTGGTAAAAAAAATAAAAAATTACACAGATTGCAATCTTAACAAATCCAGCAGCATATGCAGGCATTAGATGTATAAGGCAGTTGTCAGAAGTGCCAGCACAAATATGTAGGCCGAAGTTCTGTTACATTGGGCTAGGGTTGGCCTATTCCATCCAGCAAAAAAGCTTAGTTGCCAAAGTCAACCAACTGTTATCAAGTCGAATGCTTTGTATGAGTTGGCTGGGGGCCTTTGCTTCAGTGGGGGATACAGGGTAGGGCAGAAGAAACCTTATTTGTTATTCTGCTGTACTTTATTGTGGTTTCCTCAGAAGCGAAGCGAAGATGTTGAGAAAGTTCAAAGGTTGATCAGAAATCTGCAGGAACAGGAGCATGGATATAAAGGACTTCTGGAGAATAGCATGGTGAGTTGAGCAACATGTATGGCTGTATGTCTGTCTTTTGTTTATGTCTGTCTGGTAGTTAGCATACTGTATGGCTGTATGTCTGTCTTTTGTTAATGTCTGTCTGGTAGGTGAGCATATCATGTGGGTGTATGTCTTTTGTTAATGTCTGTCTGGTAGGTGAGCATATCATGTGGGACTATGTTTGTCTTTTGTTAATGTCTGTCTGGTAGGTGAGCATACTGTATGGCTGTATGTCTGTCTTTTGTTAATGTCTGTCTGGTAGGTGAGCATATCATGTGGGTGTATGTCTTTTGTTAATGTCTGTCTGGTAGGTGAGCATATCATGTGGGACTATGTTTGTCTTTTGTTAATGTCTGTCTGGTAGGTGAGCATATCATGTGGGTGTATGTCTGTCTTTTGTTAATGTCTGTCTGGTAGTTAGCATACTGTATGGGGGGTATGTCTGTCTTTTGTTAATGTCTGTCTGGTAGTTAGCATACTGTATGGCTGTATGTCTGTCTTTTGTTAATGTCTGTCTGGTAGTTAGCATACTGTATGGCTGTATGTCTGTCTTTTGTTAATGTCTGTCTGGTAGTTAGCATACTGTATGGCTGTATGTCTGTCTTTTGTTAATGTCTGTCTGGTAGGTGAGCATATCATGTGGGTGTATGTCTTTTGTTAATGTCTGTCTAGTAGGTGAGCATATCATGTGGGTGTATGTCTGTCTTTTGTTAATGTCTGTCTGGTAGTTAGCATACTGTATGGGGGGTATGTCTGTCTTTGTGTAATGTCTGTCCTGGTAGTTAGCATACTGTATGGCTGTATGTCTGTCTTTTGTTAATGTCTGTCTGGTAGTTAGCATACTGTATGGCTGTATGTCTGTCTTTTGTTAATGTCTGTCTGGTAGGTGAGCATATCATGTGGGTGTATGTCTTTTGTTAATGTCTGTCTGGTAGGTGAGCATATCATGTGGGACTATGTTTGTCTTTTGTTAATGTCTGTCTGGTAGGTGAGCATATCATGTGGGTGTAGGTGAGCGCATATATATGTTTGTTGTATGTCTGAGTGATAGGTGAGCGCATATATATGTTTGTTGTATGTCTGAGTGTTAGGTGAGCGCATATATATGTTTGTTGTATGTCTGAGTGTTAGGTGAGCGCATATATATGTTTGTTGTATGTCTGAGTGATAGGTGAGCGCATATATATGTTTGTTGTATGTCTGAGTGCTAGGTGAGCTCATATATATGTTTGCTGTATGTCTGAGTGATAGGTGAGCGCATATATATGTTTGTTGTATGTCTGAGTGATAGGTGAGCGCATATATATGTTTGTTGTATGTCTGAGTGTTAGGTGAGCGCATATATATGTTTGTTGTATGTCTGAGTTGATAGGTGAGTGCATATATATGTTTGTTGTATGTCTGAGTGTTAGGTGAGCGCATATATATGTTTGTTGTATGTCTGAGTGTTAGGTGAGCGCATATATATGTTTGTTGTATGTCTGAGTGATAGGTGAGCGCATATATATGTTTGTTGTATGTCTGAGTGCTAGGTGAGCGCATATATATGTTTGCTGTAAGTCTGAGTGATAGGTGAGCGCATATATATATGTTTGTTGTATGTCTGAGTGATAGGTGAGCGCATATATATGTTTGTTGTATGTCTGAGTGATAGGTGAGCGCATATATATGTTTGTTGTATGTCTGAGTGATAGGTGAGCGCATATATATGTTTGTTGTATGTCTGAGTGTTAGGTGAGCGCATATATATGTTTGTTGTATGTCTGAGTGTTAGGTGAGCGCATATATATGTTTGTTGTATGTCTGAGTGATAGGTGAGCGCATATATATGTTTGTTGTATGTCTGAGTGTTAGGTGAGCGCATATATATGTTTGTTGTATGTCTGAGTGATAGGTGAGCGCATATATATGTTTGTTGTATGTCTGAGTGATAGGTGAGCGCATATATATGTTTGTTGTATGTCTGAGTGCTAGGTGAGCGCATATATATGTTTGCTGTATGTCTGAGTGATAGGTGAGCGCATATATATGTTTGTTGTATGTCTGAGTGATAGGTGAGCACATATATATGTTTGTTGTATGTCTGAGTGATAGGTGAGCGCATATATATGTTTGTTGTATGTCTGAGTGATAGGTGAGCGCATAAATATGTTTGTTGTATGTCTGAGTGCTAGGTGAGTGCATATATATGTTTGCTGTATGTCTGAGTGATAGGTGAGCGCATATATATGTTTGTTGTATGTCTGAGTGATAGGTGAGCGCATATATATGTTTGTTGTATGTCTGAGTGTTAGGTGAGCGCATATATATGTTTGTTGTATGTCTGAGTGTTAGGTGAGCGCATATATATGTTTGTTGTATGTCTGAGTGATAGGTGAGCGCATATATATGTTTGTTGTATGTCTGAGTGTTAGGTGAGCGCATATATATATGTTTGTTGTATGTCTGAGTGTTAGGTGAGCGCATATATATGTTTGTTGTATGTCTGAGTGATAGGTGAGCGCATATATATGTTTGTTGTATGTCTGAGTGGTAGGTGAGCATACTGTATGGGTGTGTATCTGTTTTTTGTGTGGTAATATCTGTGTGGTAGGTGAGCATACTGTATGGGTGTGTATCTGTTTTTGTGGTAATATCTGTGTGGTAGGTGAGCATACTGTATGGGTGTGTATCTGTTTTTTTGTGGTAATATCTGTGTGGTAGGTGAGCATACTGTATGGGTGTGTATCTGTTTTTGTGGTAATATCTGTGTGGTAGGTGAGCATACTATATGAGTGTGTATCTATTTTTGTGGGTAATATCTGTGTGGTAGGTGAGCATACTGTATGGGTGTGTAACTGTTTTTGTGGGTAATATCTGTGTGGTAGGTGAGCATACTGTATGGGTGTGTATTTGTTTTTGTGGGTAATATCTGTGTGGTAGGTGAGCATACTGTATGGGTGTGTATCTGTTTTTTTAGGGTAATATCTGTGTGGTAGATAAAGAAATGTGGAAGGGGGGTGGGGGTGTATGTCTGTTTTGTAGGTGAGCATATATGAATGTTTGTTGTCTGTGCTGTTATGGGTGTATATGAGTTCTTGCATAGATGGAAAAGGAAAATATGCATGGGGGTTGGTAATGGGGTGTGGGGAGGTGGAGAGAACGAACAAACTTTATTTTCAAAGTTCTACTAATTGGGCACGCAGGCCCGTCTTACGTAAGACCCACCCAAACATCCATCTTTCACACAGCAGTTGTATTTTATCAATAAAGCGTGTTATGTTCATATAATAATATACATATTATGAATATCAAGAAAAAACACAAAAGCAGAGGGTATGTCTGTCTTTTGTTAATGTCTGTCTGGTAGGTGAGCATATCATGTGGGACTATGTCTTTTTATTAATGTCTGTCTGGTAGGTGAGCATATCATCTTTCACACAGCAGTTGTATTTTATCAATAAAGCGTGTTATGTTCATATAATAATATACATATTATGAATATCAAGAAAAAACACAGAAGCAGAAGGTATGTCTGTCTTTTGTTAATGTCTGTCTGGTAGGTGAGCATATCATGTGGGACTATGTCTTTTTATTAATGTCTGTCTGGTAGGTGAGCATATCATCTTTCACACAGCAGTTGTATTTTATCAATAAAGCGTGTTATGTTCATATAATAATATACATATTATGAATATCAAGAAAAAATACAGAAGCATGGATGGTAAAATGTATGTGCACACTCGCACATACAAATATGCACACACCCACCAATATACACACGCCCACCCAGGCACTCAGTCACTTACACACATACATACATACACACCCACATACATGCATGCATTTATACACACATACACACACACAGACGTTCAGACACACAGTCATACAAACACAGACGTACAGACACACACATGCGCACACACACAGACACACATGCATATTTACAGAGGCACACACACAGATATACACACAGACATACATACATTAGGCATAGGTGCATACAGACACACACATGTACACACAGAGACACAAACATACAGACACATACACATTTGGGGTCTGCATGATCTAGAGGTATGGTGTCCGTCTAGAGTGCTGGCGGTCCGAGGTGCTGGAGGTTCAAGCCCCGGTGAAGGCTTCTAGTGGACTTCCAGTAATTTCTCCTGATCTCTAGGTAGTAAGATCGGACGCCTGAGTGTATTGTTGTGCATGTAAAAAATCCTTTGGCAGTTGGAAATCGAAAAGAGTAGCCTAACGGCTCTGCCCGGACAGAATTTGGAGTTGAAAATCTACTAAAAAGTATTTCAAGATCCTCACTGGTGCTATGGAGTTCGTGCACTGCGCTGAGATTCTTTGGACTTAGACTTGAGTTAACCCTACCAGACCTGAGGCCCTGAACCTAACTGTCCCTATAATCTGAGTTCCTGGGCACTAACCCGAAAAAACCAACATGATGTACAAAAAAATTAGTTACATGCAAACAAGATCACCTGTTGGACTGTAAAAAGCCTAGACTTACGACACTTTCTTGTCGAAGCTGCTCGTTTCATTGAGAATTTTCTGAATTTTTTTCACATCAAACCACCAAAGAAATCTCAACACACGTGGGAAGTCATTCGCAATGACTAACAACGAAGTCTGATGGCGATTGGCTAGTTATTTTTAGTCTGTGACGCATATTTTTCACATACTACATAAATTCCCGGAAAAGTGGGCCAGCGGTCTGGTAGGGTTAAAAGTAAAACGAAGCACTTATGGGTTGCTGCCCTTGTACCATGATGTTGATCCATTTTTTAAACCTAAAACTTAAACCTAAATACACATAGACATACATACACAGACATACACATATACACACGGTGACAAACACACACACGCACACACAGACACATAATACATACAGGCATTACATGCATATGGACATACTCATGCACACACATATATACATACATGCAGAGACACACACACAGACATGCAGACACAGATACAGATGCACAGACACACATACAAAC